CATAAATTTTTTATTCATTGCTTAATTAAAAGATTTCTAAATATATTTATATATCTTTTTAAAAAAAATTGTTTCGCAAATATAGACTGCATTTATGCATTAAGACTTTTCTGATACTGACCAAAAAAGACAATTGCCTAGATGACGCTTATGCAACAAATTGACAGCTAGTAAATTAATTCAAAAATAGTTACCGTGAGCTGCGCTTTTGAAAAACCTTCCAGTTAGCGCCCGTACTATTTCGTATGAAACATTTAAATAGTTAGAGGACCAAGTACCTTTTCTTTTGTCCGTTAAAACATTTAGAAGACCGGGTTATTTTAATGTTACGAAATTCCCGTCAGAATACGTTAGCTTTTAAGAAATGCTAATCGAGCTATTGCATTCATATCGTAAGGAGGTCAAAGCTAAAAGAAACAGTCAATTTTATTCGTCCTTTTCTACACGAAATTCGTGGGAATTGTGCGAGGCCTCGGGGTCGATAAGAAACAGCAAATTATGTGGCAGTGAGGGTTGGGTGGATCCGGTCTATAAGGAGGGAAGGCGGGGACGAGCGCGGAAGAGTGCACGCAGTTGAATGATCGTTTTTCATGTCAGGCACGAAACTTGCGGGAGGCTCTTTTATGCCCACAAGCTGGGCTTCCTCATCCTGATAGCGGTCGTTTCTACTGTTACTAGCAAACGCTGGACCAACGACGTCCGGCCGTTTGATAGGACTTTATTTATCGCCAAGAAGTCTTCTTTGGGGTCCATGTGATAGCTGGACACTACAAGCCACGCGAAAATTGTGTTGTTCATGCTCCTGACTAACCTCGTCTCAGCCATTTTGGAGGATTTTGCCTTTGATAGGGCGAGCGAATGAAAAGCTTAGCAGGCAGATAGCATGCAAGCGTGAGGCGCGCTTACGGCAGGCTATTGATCGGCCTAGGAGCGGCGAAGCATGCTAACAGGCAATAAATCAGTAACTTGAAAATCAAACTACAGTCAGACGTTGAGTCAACATCCAATAATACCGGCGATTATTTCAGGAGAGAATCTGATTGGCTCAAGGGACATCGTTTACACGCGTTTGTTTCTTAATACGTTGTATCTCATACACTAAGGGTCTTCTGCCGTTGCACACTTCTCATCGTGTTCTTCCTTTCTGGAATCACATAAGGCGTCATTGTGCGGTGATAGCTCGGCCTGAGCTTCCGTTACAACATTTGGGGACGCAGAACTCAGAATTCACCATGTCTTTTTAATCAGAACAATTGCTCGCTATTCTGCAACAACAGAAAAAGCAATTCGAAGCGGCACACATGAAGTTGGTGGAGTCTATGATACAAAAATTCAGTTTGTATTTGTTCAATATTCGGTACCACTGTCTCAAGCTGGTGAAAACGAGGCAGATGATTTTCTAACACTCGCCAATACTGTCAACCGCAAGTGTGAATGGTTCAAGCTCCGAGAGTTCACCGATGACCAATTCAAGTGCCTCATCTTTGTGAGCGCCTTGCGGTCACGTCGTGATGCTGAAATCCGGACCCGTCTGCTCTCAAAAGTTGAACAGGATCCGAAGACAACTCTATGGTAATTGACGGCCGAGTGTCAGCGGCTGAACAACCTCAAGCATGATTCTGCGATCGTGGAGCGGACAAGTGCCT